GTGGATGAATTTATGTCTGGATTCTCAATTCTGTTCCATTGGTCTATGTATCTGTTGTTGTACCAGTACCAGGCTGTTTTGACTACCGTGGCGGTATAATAGGTTCTAAAATTAGGTAGTGTAAGGTCTCCCACTTTGTTCTTCTTCTTCAGTAATGCTTTACATATTCAGGGCCTCTTCCCTTTCCATATGAAGTTGGTGATTTGTTTCTCCATCTCATTAAAAAAAGTCCTTGGAATTTGGATACGGATTGCATCGTATCTGTAGACTGCTTTGGGTAGAACTGACATTTTCACAATGTTGAGTCTTCTATCCATGAGCAAGGTATGTTTTTCCACTTATGTAGGTCTCTTCTGGTTTCTTGCAGTAGTGTCTTGTAGTTTTCATTGTCTAGGTCTTTTACGTCTCTGGTTAGATTTACTGCTGAGTTATCTTCTTGGCGGCTATTGTAAATGGTATTGATTTGGTAATTTCCTCTTCAAAGTTCTCTTTGTTGATGTAGAGGAATCCAGTTGATTTTTGTATGTTTATCTTTTATCCTGATACTCTGCTGAAATCTTCTATTAGTTCCAGTAGTTTTCTTGTGGATTCTTTGGAGTTTTCTGTGTATAAGATCATACTAATGGTAATTTTTAAAGTGTTCCCTCATTTAAATAAAATGAAAGTGATTTTTGTTAAACATCAAGTGATATTTTTCCATAAGCATGTTCTCACGTCAGGCCCAAGGACACCCTCTATCAAATTTAGAGTGAATTAATTTATAGAAACTCAGGTTAGGGAGATTAAAAAGTAATTATTTTCTCCTCTTCCACACTAACAAGAATGATGAAAGTGGTGGTGCAGTGGTTAAACACTTGGCTGCTAACTGAAGGGTCTGCAGTCTGAACACATCAGCTGCTCCATGGGAGAAAGCTATGGCAATCAGCTTCCGTAAAGATTTACAGCCTTGGAAACCCCATGGAGCAGTTCTACTGTCTTAATAGGTTGCTATGAGTCGGAATCGAATGGACAGCAATAGGTTTGGTTTTTGGTTTTGGTCTGAATTAAAACAGCTTTTTCCCCTTTCAAGACCAACTGCAAATGGGAAAACAATGATCAAAACTATAAGAAAAGAAATTTCTGGAGCCAGTTGAAAGCATAATAGATTTCTGCATCTTTTTGTCTTTTTTCCCAATATGTACATAAATTTAAAAAGAAAAAGACATTAACCTCCAAATCATAGTACCTGTCATGAACAATCGCCTTCTTTGAAGAAAGTCAGTAAAGTTCCTACGGGTGTTTTGGGGGAAATTGCCTCGATGGGAAAAGATAGCTCACGGCTGGATATGTGTGTATGTATGTATGTATAGAACTGTTGCAGGGAGGGTGCTTTCCAGTAACTTGTGTTTTACCAACTAATAAATTTTTAGAAATAAAGCAATGAGTTGAAAAAATTAAGTGACAAATCTATCTGCTCTCAAAATTGAGTTGTCGTGTTTTCCTCCCCAATGCTAACTCTATCTTACCATAAGTCTTTAAGTATAGGGTAATATGTAAACAAGTTGTACTTCTCCAAAATCATCTAATAATTAGGTACATATGGTGGTCTTTGCACAGGCGCAAACAGCATGGTAATTATGGGGTTTCAGAGGCAGACCGGTGATAGAGAGTGAGTGAACCTTCATAATAACATCCCACACTAAGCCTCCCTCTGGCTACTGCTTGGAGCTGAGTGACTTCATAAGCTCTTAACCACTGCGCCACCAGGGCTCCACACAGGCCAAAGAGAAGTTAATCAGTTAAAATTTTTTGATACTCTATT